CACTCTGCAAGCTGAAAAACACACTCCAGGGGGACACTTATCTAACCAATCAGTGTCCTATCGCTAGGAATGCTTGAAAAGTGCATTGGGCATGGTTGACAGATTTACACTTGTGCAGTTGGAATATATCTTCACCTTGCAACATCCTGACAGATGTAGAAGAGATGGAGTCTGATCAATGATTCATGTAAAGCTGGCTCTGTTATCTGATTTATCTCTCCTTCTGCACCACACACTGATGCTCTATTTCTATTATTCAGGGACCGGACTGAAACTAAGATGGGTGTATAATAGTGAACTGGGGGACACTGAAGAAACTCCCCTACCTGAGAGGCGTGCCCCAATAATGCAATCTGACCAAGTTTATAAACATTTATTAAATACTTTTCAAAATTGTTCTTGTTTTATTTTTGTTTGTATATTTGTTGAAATGTGTTTGCTTGCTGGGACTTTCTCTTGGCACTAATACAACATTAATACATTTGATAGTTTTGTATCTTATTGAAATGCTAAATTCACATGCATTATAGTTGTTCCACAAAACAAAAAACTAATATTTTACAGAGTGCTGCTCCATAAACTCCTACAGCTCAGCCCCTAACAGCACTGAGTAAGCTGCTTTTAAGTAATAACAGGCAGTCAGATAAACTACAAGCAGGTAGTTATTACTATAATTCTCACTGGTTGTCCTCTCCTTATGATGTACATTGCTTTGTAATTCAGATCACTTGGTGTTGTAAGTGGCTGGGCTGTGTGCACACATTTAATAAGAAAGTATTTTTCTAGGGATATAGCTAAGGAAACAGACTTATGGTTCACCATTCTACAAAACATTTCTTTTTTTGTGCAAAGAGTTGAGCATACTATAAAAGAAGGTATTAATGAGGCCAAAAGTCAAATAAAAAATTAAATGCATTAAAGTTGTATTGGTGCTTGGAGTGAAACTTGAATGCAATGTGATCACTGTGATTAACTCTCACAGTGATCAGTTAGTCTGAGGATGAATCTTCTAATCTAAACAGTTAATTGTTAAGTGAGAAAAACCATCAAATTGTAATGCGGGTCAGTATAGTGACACAGAGAGTGCCAAACAGAGTGTCTGGGAGCAAACAAATAAATTCCCCCAAAACCCAGCACAGGTATAAATGCATGGTATTGCTGATTTGGTAGATAACGCAAAATACGAATCTACGGTCTTTAAAATACAAAGCCTGTGATATTCACCATTAACATTTAATATGTATATGATAAAAAAAAAAAAAATTGGTAGAAAAGATTAAATACCCATGAAAAAGAAATGTGTGTAAAAAACAAAAAAAATACACAAAAAAACAGATTTTGCATACAGAGCTTTAATGGAAATTGTTAAATATTAAATACATTAGGGGGTTATGATTTCTATAAATGTGTCATTTTGTGTAAAGGGTTTGGATTATGCAACTGCACTAGTCTCAAACGTCCAGTCAAAGGTCTAAGTTTAAAAAAATATGATCAACTTGTCCTCTAACTTCCAAAAAGTCATTGAAATCCTGGGCATATGAGGCATGTTATTGATCAGGACTAATAAGTGAATCAATTTTAAGGTTGGTTTGTTTTGTGTTGTTTTGTATTATTATTATTTTTATTTATTTTTTTGTGCTAGTTGTATAGAAATTATTGTAAGCATTACTATGATATACAGTTTGTTCCATAAATATTTGGACACTGACTTAAGTCATTTTAGTTTGGCTGTTTACCAAAATAAATTAAGGTTACAGTTAAATAATAAATATATGCTTAAAGTGCAGCCCTGGAACATTAATAGTGGCCAGATCAACAGTTTGCTACTTTCTGAGATAAAAAAAAAGAACACATTGGTGAGCTCTGCAACACTAAAAGGCTTGGACATATTTTGAAAACATCAGTGATTGATGATCATAGGATCCTTTCCAAGGTAAAGAAAAACCCTTCTTATACACAATAAGGTGCAAACAATTCATACGCCTCAAGAATAAAAAATCAAGATTATGCCAAAAAAAAAATCTTAAAAAGCCAGTCCAGTTCTGGAACAGCATTCTTTGGACAGATGAAACGAAGATCAATCTGTACCAGAATGGTGGGAAGAAAAAAGTAAGGAGAAGGCGTGTAGTGGGTCATGATCTGAAGAATAAAACATAGTCTGTAAAACATGGTGGAGGCAGTGTGATAGCATGGGCATGCATGGCTTCCAATTGCACTGGGTTTCTAGTGTTTATTGATCATGTGAAAGAAGCAGCTGGATGAATTCTAAAATTTATATGGATATATTGTCTGCTTAGGTTCAGCCAAATTCAGTGAAGTTGATTGGATGGTGCGTCACTTTACAGATGGAGAATGACCCAAAACATACTGCAAAAGCAACCCAGGAGTTTTTAAGGCAAATAAGTGGAATATTCTGCAATAGCTGAGTCTGTTACTTGATCTCAACCTGATTGAGCATGCTAAAGACAAAACTTAAGGCAGAAAGACCAACAAACAAGCAACAACGGAATACAGCTGCAGTAAAGGTCTGGCAAACCATCACATAGGAGGAAACCCGGCATTTGGGGATGCCAATACGTTCCAGACTTCAAGCAGTCATTGCCTGCAAAGGATCCTTGAAAAAAGTATTACAAATTTACATTTTATTTATGATTGTGTTTATTTGTCCTGTTACATTTGAAACCCTGTAGTAGGGAGACTCTGTATGAAAATGGTTGCAATTCCTAAACATTTCATGCAATATTTTTGTTAAACCCCTTGAATTAAAGCTGAAAGTCTGTACTTCAATTGCATCTGTTTTTTTTTGTTTTTTGTTTTTTTTAAATCCACTGTGGTGGTGTACAGAGCCAAAATTATGGAATTAGTGTCAGTGTTCAAATATTTCTAGGCCTAACTGTACATGTATAGGTTCATTTAAAAAGGAAGCATTCAGTAACCGTTGAATAAACAGACAAAGGTGCATAAAAGGTTTCAGTCACGAAGGAAGGCACAGAATTCCATAAAAGGCTCAATATGGTGAATTTGTGTATGTATATTTAGAATATCTTAAATATTTATGATATTGTTGGTGGATATAGTTTTGAAATTGAAAAAGGTTATCATAATGTGTAATAGTTGCTAATGGTTTTTACTCTCTAATTTCCTTTCTCCAGGTCTAACGTATGATGAGATGGTTTGCTTTGTGCCTCCTCCACTTGATGCAGAAGAGAGGGAGTCTTAAGGACGCTGATCCCATATGATTCTAAATCACTGTGAATGTGGGGAATCACCTTTGTGTACCCCATGCTGTCATACAAAGTGCCTATCAGGCTGTGGATATGGGGGTTTCACACATTTATATTTGTTTTCCTTTGCTGGGGAAAATTATTTATATAGAATTTCTATGTAACTCCAGCTGCATGCTCTTCTCAGTTGTTACCCTTTCACTATTAATATTCCAGCACAGAATTATTTCTTCTGCAGGTTGTTGTGTTTGTTTGTTTTTTAATAAAAGGGGTAAATAGATGCAATATCTTATGTCTTAATCATAGTAAACCGTGATCACAATATTGTGTGTAAATTAAAACATGTGCGTGCCTGTATATACATATATATTGTAATGATATCAAAATGCAATATAAGTAATGTCATTATTTTCAAAAAAAAATAGCAGACCATTGGTAAGGAAATATAAAGAAATATGAGAAAGAAAAAAAAAATAACTGTGCTGTTTCTTCTCATTTACATTACATTCTTGATTGGGGCAATGTAATACTTCACAATAGTTGTATATAGGACATGAAATATTCATCAGAATTTACTTAACCAGGTAATAATACCCCTAGGCTTGTCCACAAAACCATGAAAGTAGTAGTCTTTAAAGTACACAATAGTGGGATGGAAGATGCAGATAAATCAATTGTGAGTATGCAAATCCATTCCAAGTACCTTCTCAGTTCACCATCTACTTAAAAGAAGAATTGTGAGATGCTGTCAAATCATTTTCTTTTAATAAATACTTTCTATTAGTCTAGCATTCATTAGGACTTTGGCTATTGAAAAGAATATAAAAATGTATATTGTGTAATAAAATTAATGCAGGTTTACGCTTTCAAATAGTTGAAATATTTTGGTCTTCAACTCACTATATACACTCAGTGAGTAGTGCAAAGTTCTTTGCCTGTTTTGCGTAGTTTTCGTCCAAAATGTAATTTTTTTTATTATTTTATATTTTTGTTGTAGCATATCGGAGTTATACATACAAGTATAGGCATGGTATACTACTTTTTAAGTGCATTATTAAAGTAAAAGGAACAGTGTCACACATATAAACATCGCATAATGTCACTTTATTCCTGTCTAGCTAAATTTAAGCTAAGGACGTCTGCACTATATGGTGTGGCCTACTCATGAACTTGGGGTTAAATCGCTGTGTTGGGAGGATAAGAGAGACACGTGTGTGCCTTGTGAGAACGAGCACTGTGGTGTGATAAAATAACAATACATTTAGCTCAAAACGATTGTATTGGGGGCTATATCTAGCTCTTTCAGATCAACAGCATTTGGTGCAGTGTGTGGGTGCACGCCACCGCAAACGGCTCGCTTCATGTGTCCGAGGGCGGCCGTGTTGCACACTTCTGCTTTGGGGTAAAATGGCCCGATGCGATCCACGTTTCATGTTTGAGTAGGAGATTCGGTGGAAGTGGTCGCTTTGAGTCTCTGTATGTTATCTGGTACTGGCAGGTGCCTTGAAACATCGCTCCGCTTCTGCGATCTGTGTGAGGTAAATTATTTTCTCACTATGCTGCACCGACAGCTTTCGGCCCGGTCCCCGGCGATATCTCTCGCCTTTATCTCTCAACATCTTAGTGACCGTGTTTAAGGAGTGTCTCCAGAGCATTGTAGGTCTGAAAAGATTGTTAAAGAAGGAAAGGTCTGAGCCTCCAAAGTAATAAGAGGTGAGTTGCCGCTGCAAGCTTGTAGAAGCTGTTTGCTTTGAAGCAGCTGGAAACTCGGCAACAGGTCCCGTGGCACCCCGGCCTTAGCTTTGGGTGACTTAGGGACCTTGTAGTAGTCGTCGAACTGTGTGGCTTTTGCCTTGGAAGGTAAGATCATAGCGTTTAATAGCCTTCGAAGATAGTGCGGCAACACTGTTTCTGTGATGTCTTCAGGAACTCCGCAGAGCCTTAGAATTTGCTGCCGCTTTGAGTCCTCCAACACAGCTTTTTTGCCCTTTAACTGGTCTATGTCAGCAGACAGGTCTTACTGTTTGCCTCTGGTAATGCTCCCCTCGTCCTCCAAGGACTGCAGTCTGTCAAAGTCCACATGTCTTGGCGGAAGCTCGAGTCTCACTACCGATATGTTGCTGAAGGCGGAACAAGTGCGTTACACTGCGCTGCCTCAGTAATAGCTGGAACTATAGCCTCTGGAGCTGGGAATGAGTAGGAAATGCCTATTCCAATATAATAAAATGACCATCGGGTCCATAAAAACAAAACATGAATGTATAATTAGACTATATAAAGGAAATACACGCTAGGTTTAAAGAGGGGAATGTCTACTTACTCTGACTGAATAGCAGGGCCGGCCTGGGAAAAAAATTCAGCCCTGCTTTTTTCATTCACAGCGGCCCCCTGAGGGGGCGGGGCCAGAAAGGGTGTGTTTTGTCATCACTAATGACAAGCACACCCCCCTCTCAAATTGAGCATGTTGGTTCAATGTGCAGAGCCCCCCTGAAGAGCTCTAGCATGAGAAAAAGGCCCTGTATTTGTTCTGCGCAGTGCAAGCAAATTTAATAACATGCTTGCGCTGTGTTTGCTTTTAACTTGGGCCACGAAAGCGTATCGTGCATGTGTTTGGAGCCTACTTCTGAGATTGCGTGTGTGTAGAGTGAGCTGATTGTGGTGTGGTATTGTGTAAATAGGTCTATTTCAGTCGTATTTGTGGTGTAATATGTGTGGCTACGGGCTGTAGAGAGTGTGTATAGGGGATGTAGCGAGTGTGTGTAGGTGACATAGTGTGTGTAGGGGTTGTAGAGAGTGTGTGTTTAGAGAATGTAGTATGCGTTTGCTTACAAGGAATGTAGTGTGTGCATAGGGGATCCAGACTTTGTATGTCAGGAACGTAGTGTGTGAAGCACCAAAAGTGTGTATAGGAGATTGTGTGTGTAGAGGATTCAGAGTGTATATAGGGATCTAGTGTGTGTGAGTGTGTAGGATAATGATCCAGAGTTGGGTAAGGGATCTAGCATGTATCTGGAGCGTAATGTGTGTAGTTGTGCAGTGTGAGGGGTGCTGTAGTATATATATGTATGTATATATATTTATTTATATATATATTTGTGTAAGGGACAAATAGCCGTATATGGAGTAAGGTTCCAGCATAAGCGTAAGATAGTATAAAGGGAGCAATTCGGTTGTGGTGTGCTGAGACTGACGATACGGTAGGCCTGTAAATAAAGAGGGCCCACTAAGGTGTAAGAATGGAAAGTAAATGGAAAGAAAAGAGAAAGTGTTGAAATGAGGAGTGGGTGGGAGGGTCATTCTGATGCTGACCTCAAGCGATATGGAGTCAGGTAAGGGGTGAATTAGTTTAAGCCCCTCCCACAAATACAGGCCAAATGGCCTTAATACTTGTGTAAGGGGCAAATAGCCGTATATGGAGTAAGGTTCCAGCATAAGCGTAGGATAGTATAAAGGGAGCAAGTCGGTTGTGGTGTGCCGAGACCGACGATACGGTAGGCCTGTAAATAAAGAGGGCAAAAATGAATAATCAAAGATTTAATACAGTCAACAAACATATACAAATTAACCAGACATTTCCTTAAATGCATTACGGTGTTTAATTCCTGGAAGGATTTTGAAGGTAGGAATCTAGGACCGCAACTGGACACCATTTGTTGTGGGTAGGATAGTATGTTATCTCTACTGTTGGTGCATGTTGACTCATTTCGGAATGTGGTTGAGCCAATAGGTAATGATATATGTGTTTACATACGTGGGATCGTTGAAGACAATGATCTCTCTGAGTGGTGGTGATGGTAGTGGATTCTCTGGCCTGAGAAAGGCATAGAAGGCAGTGTGCATGGCTGGTAATGGCCGACTTGGTAGTATAATTGAATGGTTGTAGATCTAATAGGTCTGATAAGGATGGAAAAGTTGGATGGCTATTGGTAATCTCTGAGAGGAACTTGGGGGAATGGATTCCTGAAAACCTCTGAGTATATTCTTGTCTGGTATGATAGCATGAATTTATGGTAGTTTTGGCCATAGGTTATCCTGTGTTGTTGAATGCTTGTAAAATATATAATTAATGGTGTGTGAGATAGTTTTAGTTTAAGGTGGCAAAAAGAAGCAAAAGCTAGGAGAAATGTTATGACAATGGTTGAGCTATGTTGTCTTGCATTGAGATTCTTTAAGCCAGGTGAAAAGCTGTGTTATGCGTTCTACAAGTATGGGACAAAAGTGCTAGGTGGGATAGTGCATGCTATGCTGCATGAGTATGTCTAATCCATGATTTTGTCTCTGGAACGAAAGAGTGGCTGTGACTGTATGGGTGGCTGTAGGAAGCGTATGATGAAAATGCCTGGAATATAAATTAGACCATTGTCGGCCGGGATGTATACCCCCACCTGGTACATGAAAGTAAAAGATATGTGATAAGTGGCCAACCAAGTGAGTTCCCCAGAAATATCGTGATCGTATGGATGATCAGTGGCGTTTGTTGATTATATGACATGTGCTTAGTTGTCTGAGTAACAACGGATTGATGACCCTGATGATTTACCACAAGCTGCTACAATGGGGTAGATCCCCCAAAGGGTCTGAGGTGGTGGAAAATTTCCAAACCTGGATGCCATGGCCAACAGCTCCAAAGAAATTGTTCCCGGTAGATCGATGCCAAACCCGTGTTAGACGCCGCGTCTGACCATCTGGTTGGAGAAGTGTCAGACAATCCTGGAAGGAACATGCTTTTACCATGCCAAGTGGTTAAGAAATTCTGCCCCATGTGCAGGTCTGCTGTGGCTGGGGTGTCTAGGGACATCCTCTGATCGTCATGTTGTAAGTGTGGAAAAAAGGGGAAAGTACTCTGGATGTGAAAGCGTAGTCTTGTGGTATGATTTGCATGGCAAAATTAAGGAACCTGGTAGGGATTGTAGTTCCTTGCGGTTGTAAATACTAAGCAGGAGGTAGTGATTGATGTAGTTGAGAATGTTCCCTATTTGTCTTGTGGTAACTTGCGTGTATGGATGCTGACTCAAGTCGTATGCCCAGTAATGTGATAATAGTGTCTGGGCCTTCTGTTTCTTATGGGGTATATATGTTATCTTTGATCAACAAGAAGTCTTCTAGATAGTGTATGACTGTAATGCCTCTGGATATGTTATCATAACCAGCACAGAGTATCTGCGAATATCGATAGTAGGCTAATCTGTAGCTCGAAAGTTGAGTGGGGAAAGGATTGCCCATTTTATGCCATGCAAGTGCAAGTGTGTAGGGTAGATGGTAGCTGTTTACTGCGTTGATGATATTGGTCTTACTTAACCAAGCTTCAACCCATGCTTGAGTGATAGCTGTAAAGGTAGATCAATGGTGTTGTATAGTAAGGAAACTCCTCGGAGGGTATGTGGGAGTTGAGACTTGGGGTAGCGGAGGTGTGTGGTGCCAATAAGTCTATGGTTAGTCTTCGTTTAAGGGAAGATTCCCTTGTGACAATACCAATGTGTTTATGTTTGGCGCCATGCTGTAAATGGTGGAGATTGGAAAACCCCTCTGCAAATCTTGGCTATGAGTGTGTTTACAGCCGATGGCTCTTTTGTGCTTACTAAGTGAGGGCATGCTATATTTGTTGAAGGTGTATTTATAATACCTGTATGGGAGCCCTTTGAAGCTCCAGAGCTTTAGTAAATCTACTACAAGTCTGGAAGGGTGATGAGTCAGTAGTGTTGAAAATGCATTGGTGTGTACAGGTGGTGAGTACGTTATTTGTAAGTTGTATTGGGACACATGGTTTGTCATGTGCCCTGAATGATTTGAACATATATGCAACAGTCTATATGCAATGCAACTACTAATACCAATTGTCTCTGGTAGTTCAGAGGTGCTGGTACCTGGAGCCTGAGAGTGCTCATCCGTTTGTTTGGGACAAAATCCCTTCTGTATGGGTACCTGCACAAATAAACATCTCTACATATTCCAAATGCCAACACAACCAAGGGATGGTCAGTTCCCGATTTACCTGGAATCCCTGGATCTGACCATCACAGATACATCATCATACATATATATGCCTTGTTTCCCCAATGTGCTGGGATCATATGTGCAGGGTTAACGTCTTGTGTGTCATAAGAATTGATTGTACCAGGTAACCGAGTTTCGGTTGGTGCTGGTTGTACAGTAGCGTGAGGCCCAGCCTTGTGAGGGCTGTGGTGACTGACTCGAGATTGCCAGTCTGTCATAAATTTTTTGGCTCATGAGTTTATGAGTGAGGCTAGCATGGCCTGGGTGTCACCTGAGTTGGTGTTGCTGGGCCTTCCCCTGCCTCCGTGTTGTCCGTTGATGTATGGAGGAGTTTGAATAACTCTGCTTTCCTTGCTGTGGCAGGGTAGGGGATTTGTCGCCTCCTTAGGTCGGTGGTAATGTGTGGGATCATCCAGGATCTGATTGCTGCTGGACTAGCAACATCTCCTCTGCTTGAAGGTGTATCACTTCTAGCCGGGGTGCTAGGAAGAGGTGATTCTTCACCATCTTTTTGAGAAATACTTAAATAACAATAAAGATTGCAATTATTATTTGTACCCAGGGGTCTTGTACTGGCTTGCTAGCTAAGCCGTAAGGCGAAACGATTAGGCTTGGTGTTTTTTGGTGACTGGTGAGGCCCTGCTAGTTGCCAAGTGGCTTGAGAGGCTCTATCTATGCTTGGCGCGAGGGGATTTTGTGTGGTCTCTGAACGTTGTGGCAGGATGTTGGCCTCTCGGTGACAGTAACCAGAAAATAGGAAGGGGAGTGACAGGTGAGGCCCTCTCTATGATGCAATGCGAGGCGGCTAGCTCAAGAGTGGCCCGAGGGGTGTATGCCTCCGAGTGTGAGGCGGGGTGTTGGCCTCACAGGACCACTAACCGAAGCATAATGCAGAGAAAAAGGGGGGTAATACCTATTGGGCCCTAGAACCATAATTGCCAGTACGCTATTACTATTCCATGGAAGGTAAGAGATGGATAACTACGTGAGCAGGTGTATGTACCATGTAGTATGGTATTGAACCTGACAATCCGTATAGATTTTTTAGTAGTAACTGTAACCTGAATGGATAAAACAATATGGCATAGACCAAGTTTATCTTAATACGTACAGTATATGTGAAAAGTAAAGTGCCGTGATGTGTAAATATTAAACATCGTAGCCATACTGGTTAAATATGTATCAGTCTTAACCCATTAAGTGCCGTATGTACAAGTGAAAAAGTGGTCTGTCCCCACCTTGTATGTTGTATGTCCCCTTGCTAGGGGAAAGTCTGTTGTGTGAGCAGCGTGCTGTGAAAAATTTATGTGAACTATATTACCAGTTACGTATATACAGATGCGTCTGCTACTGTGTAATATGTGTATTTATACCAGATGTTGATATACTACTTGTTATGTGAATTGTTGTATGTCTTATTGAATGGTAGGGGTCAGTGAACAAGGTGTTGCAAAATGCAAGTGCACTGGAGATCTGCCGAGTGCCCTATAGGTGGCAGTGTAGTTGGATACTGATTGGTATGTGAAATGTTGTTTGTTGACCTATAGGGGTCAGTGTTTTGGTGTTTGTAAAACCCCATGAAAATTGTTAATGTACTTGACAGACCTGTAGGTGGCAGTACAAACACAAAGATAAAGCACCGCGCTTACAGCAGCAGTGGCTTAGTATCCAACAGCTTAAAATACATAGTAAAAACAAAGAAAAACGTTACCTGCGCTCTGGCCTAAATCCCCATGTGCATTTGAACAAAAATGGAGGCTCTTTAGTTCTATTCTAAATGGCCTTTTGAATATATAAGCTCGCCAGCCACGTCAAGGCAAGCCTCAATAGGTGAGTTCCTACACTAGCCATTAGATATGCTGATATCAGCCAAGAGTCTCCAATAAGACAGGAAGGGGTATTTTATAAACCCTTTAACATTTAACCCTTTATAGGGCTTCTGCACATTCAATAAACTTTGCTGATATCAGACAAAGTATAGACGTCTCTAATGAGACATGAAAGGGTGTTTTATAAACCCCTACATACTTTACTCTGAGTAGGGCTATAACATACAAATCACCTTGTTTTATAAACCCTTTAACACTTAACCCTTTATAGGGCTTCTATATGTATATGTTTCATGCACATGGGGATTTAGGCCAGAGCGCAGGTAACGTTTTTCTTTGTTTTTACTATGTATTTTAAGCTGTTGGATACTAAGCCACTGCTGCTGTAAGCGCTGTGCTTTATCTTTGTGTTTGTATATGAATTTTGTATCACTCAGCTATGTTACATTGCTGCCAGCCTTCCTACGTTTGTCTTATTAAGACTTTATAAGTATGTAGGGGCAGCACCCCTTCTTGTCTCATCAGAGAAATTTGCCCTTTAGCTGATACCAGCAAGGTGATTTGTATGTTATAGCCCTACTCAGGGTAAAGTATGTAGGGGTTTATAAAACACCCTTTCATGTCTCATTAGAGACGTCTATACTTTGTCTGATATCAGCAAAGTTTATTGAATGTGTAGAAGCCCTATAAAGGGTTAAATGTTAAAGGGTTTATAAAATACCCCTTCCTGTCTCACTTTGTCTGATATCAGCAAAGTTTATTGTATGTGCAGAAGCCCTATAAAGGGTTAAATGTTAAAGGGTTTATAAAATACCCCTTCCTGTCTTATTGGAGACTCTTGGCTGATATCAGCATATCTAATGGCTAGTGTAGGAACTCACCTATTGAGGCTTGCCTTGACGTGGCTGGCGAGCTTATATATTCAAATGTCCATTTAGAATAGAACTAAAGAGCCTCCATTTTTGTTCAAATGCACATGGGGATTTAGGCCAGAGCGCAGGTAACGTTTTTCTTTGTTTTTACTCTGTAGGTGGCAGTGTTGATAGAACCACTGTTGGTCTTGATGTGAAATGTAAATTATTGTGAATTAAATCTGAAGTTGAGCCTGTGCTGGAGTTTAATTTATGGTTTATGGTTATGTTTAAACTAATCTTATGTGTAGTTTATATTGGCTGGTAAATTGTATATGACATGTGAAGACAGTTTTGCTGTTGACCAGTAGGGGTCAGAAATGCTGATTGTATGGTAAAAATACCCTTTAATCCAAATACAAGGTTAACGTGTTTTTTTGAGTTACCTGTTGGGGTCAGTGTGGTTTATGTGAAACATTGTTCGTGAGCTATGCCCTAGCATTATAGATGTATGACAGGGAAACGAACAGTGCCCGTTTGAAAATATGTGAACATAATAGCTTAAGAACAGTCATTGTAACAAACCAGAGTTCTGTTCGTGGGTTGTAAACGTACGAAACGTGTGTGTAGTACAATCGTTCCCGTTTGGTAGAAAATTGCACGAACCGTGAGCCTGGTATGTCAGGGAAACAAAACTAAATGAGCAGTGAGAGTCGAAATGCACGCATAGAGTTGCCTAGTATGTTTAGGCAATTGAAACAGAATGTGTTCCCGTTCGGGAGTATGCTAATGCTCGAAATGAGCCAGTGACCGATATAAACAAGTGAGTATAAACGAATGATATGCATGAACATGCAATGGTTTTAGAACAGATTTA